AATCATGTAAAACTTTCAGTATCTTACAGTGAAATAAGCAAAAATAACAGGAAAGCAACTCAAAAAACATAAAATTCCGCACAGAATTTTACTTTGCAGAACAACTTTATAAAAAAATCAATAAAAATGTATTATATATATAAAATGATAATGAAATATGCCAATCTCTTAAAAACAGTGACATAAGAAATACGATGAAAAATTGTTGCTAAACCCATATTTCTGAAGCAATGAAACTATTCAAAATGATGCGATTTCATCAAAAACCTATCAACAACAATAAGACAGGAAAATTGTTGCCAAAATCCCATTTTTAAAGATGCGAGATGTGAGAAGTGTACTCGGAGCTTCATTTAAAAAATTTTTTTTAAATACAATCATTTTTCCAGAATTCTTTTTGTAAAAGCAGTCGCAAAGATGAAAGTTTAATGTGTCCAAAAATCAAAGAAATATAAACTGTACATTTTTAAAAATAAACTTTTTTAGAAAAAAATCCCGTTGAAAAGGTGTTAAGCTCCCTTTGTTAAATAAATTCGTATTTAATCGATTTATTGAAACACAAAATTTATTTTAAGTGCCTACGTTTTATGACGATGTGAAAATGGAGTGTGTAGAGTAAAATCTCGCTTTCCTATAGCCCATTATGTCTCAAAATGACGCGATTTCGTCACAAAACAAAAAATTCTAATTCGAATTTTGAAAAAATCGCTTCGAGGGGCACTGCCTCTTGTCTAGATGCATCTATGTATCAAATTTCGTAGTCATGGGTCTATTAGCTTACGCGCAGCACGAACGAAAGACACACACACACACACTCTTATTATATTTAGAGATTATTTTAAAATAGTATTCCTTTATGCATTGCTAACCTAAAAATAATTAACGTTAAAATTAGTACACAGAGATAAAATGAGCACTTTTGCATTGGCTGGGTGCAAAATGTTTTCGGACGCTTAGGACCAACGTGATGCAGCAAATCTCCGTGTACGGAGTTTCCTACTTGTGAATAAAAACTAAACTGTAGAATTCTTCACTCTTGTAAAAGCCTCTTTCCCCACGTGCGATATGAATTATCTCCATGTGTTTCTCCTAAAAATGCTCTCCCCCTTAGATTAGCTCCTTGTAAAAAATTTAATTTTTTCCACTTTATCAATTTTGTATTTTTATCAATTTTTAAGTCCATATTTGGATATACAAAAATTAAACTTAACAATGCAACTTATGATGCTTGCAATAATATTAATTATGTTGCATAATCATAATGCTTGCAATTTATAATAAATACAGTTTATTTTATTAGTTCAGAGGGGCAATTTGCTCTGAAGGACTTATTTTCGTTTTGGCATTTTGCGTTGGTTCACTATAAATATCCGATTCACTTTTCAAACTGTTGCCACCAAATATTATCGTCCTATATTATTTTTAAAGAAATTAAATAATGAAGAATCTGCATAAATGTGTTTTTCGCATTGTAATAAAACAACGGTACCTAGAGCCATCGAATAATGTACGTTTCCACCCGAATGTGGGCATCTAAAAGCCAAAATTTGGAATCTGGAATCTGGTTTATTACCTATTTCATAATTTGTAAAACTTTAATTTTCGATTAAAAAACTCAACGATTCAAAAGCGAGCAATGGCAACAATCTACGGAGGACGGGGTGTTAAAAAACCTTTTTATCTTCAGCGTGCAGAATCGTGTTTCGGAAATTCTAAAGATATGCTCATTTTAAAATCATTTTGCGATATTGCCGTTGAACTGAATTGTATTGTTTAAGTGCGAAGAACGTGATTTTTAATAAATAAAGGTAACACAAACGTTGAAGAAACGCCCCTTTGGACGTCATTTAAAATCTGAATCAGGGTATTTCCTTGACCAGTATCTCATCAGGAATGCCTCCCTTCCAAGAAAAGTTCTCCATATATTTTATCTTTTTCTTCCATAATATATCTCATAATTTATTTGTTGTCTTATTTTGTACCGATGGTTCACTTGAAGAAACTTTTTGCATAAGAGACAAATCGAGAAGCATTAAGATTTACTGTATCATCACTTGGCTTTAAAAGTTTATTTTTGTCATATATTTCGTCATCCTCATTATTTTTTCCTTCGGAAAGCACCAGTATTGGAAACTATATTTCATCAGTTAAGTTCCACCAGTTGGACAATCTTTTCCCACAATATTGATGTCTTCACTACTGATTTTATTACATGACACTTGTAAACAATGCCAATGTTCTATATCTCCCGTTGTATTGGGCTAATTGACGAAATCAACTTGAGTTTTTCATGTCTCGAAAACACGAGTTAGGACATACATTAGATTTGTAAACGATATTTTTCTAAGACAGGCATTCTAACGAGACTTTTTCTGAAATAATGACATTTTTCATATTTCGATTCTACGACTCAAATTATGTCAAAGCGCCAAGTTTTGTAAAAATCGCATGAATAGTTTTTAAAAAATTGGCTCTCAGAATTGTAGCTCCTCGGTGTTAACTGAATTTGGCATACATTTATTAACATCACTTTATTAAACTCACCCGATTCCTTCTTTGAGAATTCGAATTTAAGTTCAATCCGAATAAATTTCGCAGGCATTTTACGCACTTTGTTAGAACTATCTGAATGAATGAACGAAGCACCTTTTTCGTTCTTGCAGTTAAAAAAAGAAATAGGTTGTCATTAATAATTTCGTCAAGTCTTCGCGGAAACGCAAAAAATGCATCAAGGTAATTTATTGGTTAGTTACTCACCCAATTTTACAAAATTTAATTTTCAGGAATAATTTCAGTAGGAGAATCGAAATATGGAAAATAATCGATTCGTTTAAGAAAAAGTCAGATTTTTCATAAAAATACTTATGTTAGAACAACGTTATATATAAATCTAATATCTTAAGTCCATGTAAGTATAAGTGACTTTTTCCAGACAAAAAAACGCAAGTTAGATTTCATCAATCGGCCCAGTATAACAAGAGATCGGTGTTTCGGTCCAGTAAAAAGAGATTTGTTTATTTTTTGGTGCAGAGTGTATGTTTAAGAAGACTGAGCACTAGAATTTCACTAGTACGTTGTCCCAATTTTGAGAAAGAACACCCCAGGGGAGGTCATAGAAGCTCCCGCGCAGCTTCCCCCTTCCATCAGCCACGCGAGAGGATCGTATATTTTGAGTATACCAATTTGAAATGAAATGCATCTTCCATAGAACAGGATAATTTTTGTATGCTTGTCTAAAAACTGCTAAGAAGTGTCTATAATAATATAAGAAGAGTACCAGCGCGCTGTGTATTTTGAGTACTCTCTTGCCATAGACTCTACTATACATTTACAAACATCCATACTTTCAGCACGAAATACAATAAAAAGAAATACAATATGCAAATTCAGCTTTAGTTTGAAAGTTCTTCTATAATCTTCAAATGGGCGAATACTTGCTTCTTTCGTCGGGAAACTCGTTAATCATTTAGACTTTTTATCAAAAGAATGTAGTTTATGGTGTACAGCCATAATGATTCATGATATTACGTTGATGAAAATGGCGAAATCAGAGTGCAACGTACGGACTGGTACTAAATTCAGGAAAGTGAAGATGGAGTAATATAGTGAAATCTTGGATCACAAACAAATTATCTCTGAACAAAATTCGTCTCGGATGACAGTGTCTCGAGTTACGAACACAGAAGTTGGCAACATACGATTTTTAAAAGTGTTTTAACTTCTTCTGTTTAACACACGCTACTTCAAGAGATATCGTTTTAAGATTTTCCACTGCTTGATGTTAACAAATCCTTTCAGCAAGCGACTTACAAGACCATGGATTCTAGCTCGAGGAAATTGACCAGATTACGTTGCAGGCAGAAACTGAGAACCGACATTTAGGCTTTTTGTTATTTGCGAAATTTTGTCTCTGGGCAAAATCATGGGGTAGGATGTTTACAGTCAAGACGTAAGGAAGTTACTAGAGGACCATAAAATTTAGCTTAACAAGAAAGAGCTACAACTTCAGAAGCGGCAATAAAAGGCAACTATAAGAATTTTCTGAAGAGGAAGGAAAAATATCCTACTTCTCTGGCAAACTGAATTAAGTTGCAAAGTTCTCACACATCGATACTCTCATAAAGTACAACAACGACTGTTGTATCTATTCAATGACAATACATTAAGACCGTTCTCAATCATGGCATAAATTATATTTGGCAATTTTGGATTCAAATGGAGACCCAAAATGTCTGTCAAGTGGTACTTTGAGACAAAGAAGAGTAGAAGACAGTTACCCAATATTTTTATGGAAGAGAATTTCGTTTCAAACAATATCTTCATTCTTTACTTATGCCATCTACTCTATGTAGACGTACAGTAAAATTTAGCTTTAGTCTATTTTATCAGTTTGATATTATGTTCATCTCTTTCTTTATATTTACAGATTTTCATTGGTTTTGGATTATGGTCAATGTGCACAATGAATGATGTAATTATGATTGTGCACAACGTACCGTTTTAAAGCTTAAATAAACTATTGTACGTGGTCCAGGAACGAATTAATTTTACATTAATTTCTACGGGAAAAATCGTTTCGGTTCAAGAACTCTTCAGCTGACGAACAGCCTTCAGGCACGAGGAAGATTTGTAATCAGATTTTATTGCGCAATGAAAGCCTTACGAGAGAGTCGAACCCACGTTTCTGGCTTGGAGGCGGGAGTGGGAGTTCACTCTGGAAGTCAGCTTCCGATATTACTAGAAGGCGACATCTAGTCAGATAAAAATGCTTTAATAATTCTAAAATATAATTAAAGGCAAACTTTAGGGATATTTAATGCTTGTCAAGGGATTTTTTTTTGACTTAAAAAGGATTTTCCTATGATAAAAGAAGCAACTTACAATTTCTGCTTTACGAAGTTATGATGTTCCAATTCTCAGTAGCATTTCATAGTTTTTTTTTTCAATCTTGGCAGTGCTATACTACCCTTCTTTCTTCTCCACACTTACAAGATTTTTCAAATGATCATTTGGAATTTTATTTCAGAGGCTGAAACATGAGGTTTCTTCTTTCGTCTTTACTTTTGGCTTCTGCCTGCTTTGCTTTGTCCTTGGCGAAAACCGATTGTCAGGAACACCGCGAGAGAGAGTTGAAGTCCAACAGCAGGGTGAAGCTCGTGCCCAAATGTAACGAAAATGGAGAATACGAAGCCATGCAATGCTACGAAAACTCGCCTTTCTGCAGTTGTTGGAGACCAAACGGAACAGCCATCATTCAGCCAGTTTTGAAATTGAAGTCTTGCAACTGTATCGTTCACAGAGACAGAGTAGTATCTAGAAGTGAGTACTTTCATAGTCTTTAAATCATAAAAGATAGTTACTTTTTTCACGTAACTATGAATTAAGTAAAATGAATTTTAAAAACATTGAGAGGGGAACAAGCTGTTACTTTAAAAAAGCGAATACTCAGAATCTAACATTTACTATAAAAATATTGCATATCGAAAATTGATTTATTTGATTAATGATTTAATTTTTAATGATTAGAAAGGAACGGTTTCCATTTAAGAGCCTTATTCGTAAATTATAGACTAACAGTTTTTAGACAAGCACACAAAAATGATCCTGTTCTACAGAAGATTCATTTCATTTCAAACTGGAGAAGTTTTTTTATGTAAAGGGCAAACTTGCTTTCAAGGATAAAAGGTTTGCAATTAATTTTAAATTAAGGGTTTTAGTTAGATTTATGAAAGTTGCACGCTCAGTAATGGCACTAAAGTTCAGTTCTATATATCAAATAGCCTCTCCAGATTAAAATTTATAGGACTTAATTACTTTGTATTTTGATATCTTCGAAATAAAATTTAGTGTTGTAAATAAAATTAATGATATACGATAAACGTTAAGCCTGTTTGAAAGGAAATGAGAGAAACAAGTTTATTCGCTCAGTTTTGTGAGAAGTTGAGTATCAAACTCTGTATAACTTAAAGAGCACGTAAACGTCAAGTCTGTATAAATGAGAAAAAAAAGAAGGCTTCTTCCTTGCTAAAACGTTTAGTCGTACAAATGAGACGATAATTCGCCAGATTTGTCAAACTAAATCGTCAAATTTCGATCATGCAGCAGGTTCAGTTTCCACACTGTTTTTGATTACAAATTGCACACATGATGCCACCAATTCAATATTTTGCTTTCTCGAAAAAATTCGCTCTCTTCAGACCGAATGACGCTATCACCCCTTAAAATATTACCATTTTTTAAATATCAAGTAGAATAGAAGTAGTAATAGTTCCTTCGCGATATCATTCATCCTTTTGTATACTACATTATATCCTGTCCCTTTAAAATTGTTTAGCTATATTTAACTTTTAATAAACTTTAAAAAAAACAGCAGTTTTTCTCTTGAAAATTACGGAAACTTTCATACTTTGGGTCCAAAGGACTCCTGAAGAGCAGCCATTAAGTAAAATTATTTATTGAAAGGTAAAATATTTAGATATGCAACGGAAGGGTGGGGTTTCTTGCTGAAAATTTGTTTCACAGCTTTAGACTTCTTATACTGCCAGGCTCAAAGACATTTCCATCAGCTGATGCAGTAGACAGTTAAACATTGACGAAAATCAGAAAGTACGTATATTTGATTTTATAATAGCAGCAGTTAACTAATTTTAGTTTTCACAAAAACTAATAAATGCCATCTCGGCGTATGAGATTTTATTTTTTATACGTTGCCATAGGGTTTTCTAGTATTCACATTAAATTAACAAACTAACCAAATTTCACCAAAGCGCGTGCAGTGGCCACTTTAATAAAGAGGGTTACGCTAAGGAGTGTTATTTGCTCAATTTTATTAGATTACAGCCTGAAGGGCTGCTGCCAAGACTGCTTATACTCATACTCCTGTATTTTTAGGGCTTATTGGAACTTACAAACCGCAGTGCGAAGCGGACGGAACGTACAGCCGAACGCAGTGCCATGGCGGCATGGGATATTGTTGGTGCGTCGACGAAAATGGGAATAAAGTCAACAAAAACCTTAACGATTGTTAAATTCCCGACAGATAAAATGTAAAATTGTTGTGTTAAGAAGCTTTTAACATGTTAGTTCTTTCGGCTTGATTAATAAAGGAAATTGAGAAAGTATTCTGCTTGAAATATGTTAAATTTTTATTTTACATTTATTGGTACTAGTTTTCTAGACTCCAGCGAAAACCCGCCAAATTACGTACACCGCGTGAAATCAGAAGTCTTTTCAGTTTAACTTCTGTTTGCCGAATCTGGCGAACGGCTTAATATCGTAATAGTCGTTTTTCAGTTTAAACAGTTATGTAGAAAACACTTTCACTTTCGACTTCTACTCGCCAAATCTGATGAAATAGCGGAAAATCGCAGTAGTCTTTTTTTTCAGTTTAAACATCGTAAGAAAATGTTGACAGTTTTTACTTCTTTGTACCAAATAAAAGCGAAAAGTTTCGGGTATCATATTTCAATGAAAATATCCACTTCAACCGTTCTCAAAACCATTTGAACAATGTTTAAAAATCATTGTCGGATTCCATCTTTGGTAGCTCATTTATTCATGCAAGTTTTAAAAACAGCCACCCAGAAAAAGTAATTCCTAAATCACCTGATCATAATGTCAAACGCAAGTCAATCCTTCTGCTTGAGATGTGTGCTAAGAGTACAATTTAACTTAAGAAAATTTAATTTCTCTAGAAATCAAACAGGAAAATTAAAATTCAACATATTAGTTTATTAATTTAAAAGTAACAAAACAGGCTCGATTAATAAATGATTATGAATTTAAAATTTTATATTTTCCTGAAAAACTGTGCGATTTTGCTCTCAGGCTTGGCATTAGTCATGGATGTCTCAGCGATGCAAAGAAGTGATCCGTCTTTAGGACACTCGCTCACAAATGCGGAGTCATTCGAGTCATGCGATGGCCATCTTTTGAAGTCTTCTTTGGATTCCAAGTCCTTGAGCTGGAACAGTTAAACAGTCAGTTAAATTAAATCTACAGAAATTTATTACATTTAATTGACTATCACTTACCTGACGCTAAATATTTTAAGAAATACTGAAAGCTTTATGCACTTTAATTGAAACGCAAACAGAAACAAATGTATAGTTCGAAGACACTTTGCAGCCAGTTGCGAAGATTTACGACGAACTAGAACGTAGATTATCTGAACTCAAGATCCGAAATTTTATTTACCTGGGTAGCCTTTTTTCTACGGCAAGTAAAATTTAACGAGTTCGCTCCCTGGTATCAAATTACAACTTAAAAGCAAATTAACATACAGTATTTGGCTAATAATAAACAAACGTCAGCATAAATCAATTCACTGAAAACCAAGAGAACATGCAGCAAGTTCTTTTCAGCATGGCAAACACACGAGGGCTGTGCCTCTGAGAAATATTTTCGAAGAAAAACTGAATAGTATTCACGTTACAGATGGGGTAAATCGCAAAAATCAACCATGCAGCCAGCTCAGTCTGGGTTCGAATCCTGGACAAATTAGCTGCATTCATTAGTCCTAACTGCCAAGTCACTGTTAGGCCAATTTGAAGATGCGAAACAATATGAAAGTTTTCCATTATAGCAGATATTGCTCTCAGTTGGATAACACCAATACAAGAAATTGGGGGGGGGAATTCAATAGGCTCTCGAAACATTTGCACATCAAGAATTAGGTACGTTATTAATAGAAAATGCTAAATAGGATTATTCACCAGCGATAAATATTTCGCCTTAGTAATGCAAGATTGGCAACCTTCACATCAGTTCTTCACGTAAATGTGAAAGCAAAGCAAGAGGACTAAATTTTTATCGAAAATTAAATTACAATGCGACAAATTGCTCACGTTTGCCTTCTGATGTGTATTAAATATTATGCCATTTGGTGTCTTCTACGATTTACTCAAAGTGTAGACTGGGCTAAGATATAGTTCTACTGAAAAAGTAAGTTTCTTGCTTGTTTTATTGAATTGACTGTTTATAACGAATATTTATTATATTGCAGGTCGAGGTTATTCAAATTAGCTTTTTTGAAAAATTAGATTATATAATGGGTTAAAGGATGTATGACCGATAGAGCTCAAGAAAGGGATAGATACAAGAGTGACAAATCCAAAATTGTGTTCACTTATATCTCAGGGGATTTTCAGGGCCAAATTATGATCAAGTGCGGTCTCCGTGAAATAACGTTCATAGCCTTTTCTTCAAATTGAAAACCTACGATTTCTTGAATACCTTCATTCACTCATAAAAGGAATGCGTATTTATCCCATGACTATAAATACAGAGAGCTAACGAAGGTTAAGATAGTGTTACTTAAAAAGAAAAGCCTATTGCATGGAACTATATTTCATTTAGAGAGAAAACAATGACCAGGCGAAACTTTTTACCGATAACCCGATTTTGTTTTATATTTGGCGTGGCCACCGCCTGCATCACAGGCATCACTAATTTATCTTGGGTAAGCGCCTGAGTAAGATACACCGATAGAAATGTAAACGTATCCTGCGCACATTCGAGAGAGCGGGTTGAGAGATCAAGCTTGTAACTAGCCAAGTCGTTAACAGGCGTTGGTAATGCTGAAACAGTTAAATTTTCTTGGAAGTTTGAGGCCATCCAGGATTTATTCCTTTACTCAAACTATCTAAACATTGTGGAATTGTGTTAAAACTGTCTAAAACTATTCCCGAATATACTTGGGAGAAAACTGAGTGTTGTTGTATCGCCTTCGAATGGTACGCTACACTTTAACGACCGAATCACATTTTGCGAAGCCGAAAATGTCTTCTGCTGATGTGTTGCCATTAGGAATGTAAATTACCGTATTTAGAAGCAGTTTTCTTACCTTCATGATATAAATAAGCAACAGCACTAACGAGAAGCTTTGTATCCAAAATTCTGTGGTGTCAATTGCTCAGAGCTTAAAAACCTACATTGAATTATTCAGCAACGTATTTGGCTCACATACTAGAGGACTATGAAATAGGACTCTAAAGTTTCTTCGTTCGTTTTGAACAATATTGCTAAACAATTATACGTACTGATTAAACACGCTGAATGATTAGACTAAAGATTTATTTTGAACAGCAAACCAGATAAAATTCTTAACAATGAAGTTGAGAAATTTTAGTAAAGTTTAATTATCTCAAATCATGAAGATAAGTTGATTTCTCTTCAGTATTAATTTAAAACGCTAAAACATTCCTGGTAAATGTTTCTTGGTTTATTAAAATGCTATCGTATTTTTTTGATTCGGATTAATTTTTTTCGTTTTTTGTAATAAAATATTTAAGCTTCATGTATATTAAATATCACAACGGGGGGGGGGAAGAATGCATAAACGACTTTATATACTAATGTTTATGGAATAACGAGATTTAAGACTAATTATCTGGATCTAATAATTACTTTCTGTACCATTTCTGAGAATCTCTGGAAAACGGCTTGGCCGTAAGTGTAATTCTTGCAAGGATTCCAAAGTTATTTCCTTCGCTTTGAATAAAAAAATATTGTTATGAGACCTTTCAGAATAACTTACGGTCTTTATGAATAGGTAGCCCCGGTCTGAGCCTTCTGCGTTTAAGGTATGCTGCAATGGAATTCGAAAACTTATAAATTACCAGGGTGACTATGCGAGAAATTGTATTCACTTAACCACTTGCGCTACGATTAAACTTCACGGTTGCGGTGCCGTGCGTTACAGTATAACAAGCGGTAAAGTGTCTCATTTAAGCCGCTCCGCGTCGTCTGCGAGTTCAATCCAGAGCTGTAACTCGAGAAATAAACTTGGATTAATCATTTCTTGATTTATTTAACAACTTCAGACGAATGGTAATATATTTCGCAGAGAAAACCTTTTTTAATTAACAACGAACTTATTTATTTAGCATTCTAAACATTACAAAAAGAATAACATTCCCTGAGTTATCAAGCTCAAAGCAATATATAAAAAGCATAACGGTTGCCACAAAAAATCTACATTAGATTATTGTGTATTAACAGAGTTCGTGCACGTTCCTAAACAAACAATCTCGTTGTTAGGCGACGTGTGCACCACGTTATTTTCACTTTTGCGATAAATTCCTATCGAAGTGGTGTTCACGTCGCTCGCGGTTTGAGACAAAGCGTCTCTACGTGCGTTGCACGTCTTTTTAGCGCAAGTGGTTAACCTATTTAGAGAAGTGATTAAGCAATTAGTTTTAAGTAATCTTGGAAATAGTACAAATTTTAGTGCAGACTCGCTGACCTTTGTCTATGATTAAAAAGCCTCGTACTTTGAAGGGGAGATGCTGTCCGCTAATGGAGATTCGGGAATACTTTGAAATATTACTTACTATATGTGGTTGTTTCCCGAACAAAGGATTGCCAAATCCAGATGAAGACTTGTAGGATCCACATTTCCCCAGGATGAGTTCTTCAGATGAATCTCTGTCGTCCATGTCTACCACTAGTCTGCCGCTGTTTCTTCTAAATCGCGATTTTCGGAATGTGACCGCTACGTGTTCACCCATTTTGGTAAGTTTCTCTCTAAACAGAAAGTAATCAAGATTCCTGTTAGAATGATGTAGAAATCAAAATTTCTGTGTTGGATAATTTAGAGGATTTAATGAATGTTAGCTATATAATGGGACTAAATAAAATGACTTCAAATCGATGTACTAGATTATAAGTGAAAATCAGCATCTAAAGTGAGCTGGAACAAAAGAGTTAAATATTGAACTAGTCAAAACGAGCACAAGTTTATTCTCGTTTATTTTAAGTCGTACAAAACTAAACAAGACATTAACTTTAAAGGTTCATAATTTAGAGAAAAAAGTCGTGCATTTCGAAGCCAATTTACTTTAAGCTTTATTACTTTATATGATTAGAATTCTTTAGAACTAAAGAAACTTTGTTTAAATTGAGTCTAACGAGGTTTCATTTAAATGAAAGTTCAAGTTATGAAATTGAAAAATGCTAAGCTAGTGTATCAGTAATTAGCTTTAAGTCAATTTTTACAGAACATACAATTTCTTACTAGATAAACTTGTGATCATTAACTTTTACTTGAATTTAAAGACTGTTCTATGTTTCTTCGATTCTATACATTAGCTTAGACTAGATCATTTTGTGAACGCAAGGTACACACACAAGGGATTTTAAAAGTTAGTGATGATTAACTGCAACCTTCGCTGCCGAGAGAAGAAATTAAGTTAAATGTTCTGGAGTATAAGTGACCCTTTCTATTCCGATAAGTTGACTATAAAAATTGTATTGTTTCGGAGTACTGACTTTGATAATCGTAAATTTGAGGGAAGACCAATTAGCTTTATGAATAATTGCTGGTAAGTAATCGAGTCGTTAGTTTGTAAACCCTTTTGGTTGTAACCAACGAAAGGTGAATGAACAAAATTTTAAATTTTTACCTATGCAAGTTGTTTGATTAAGCCCACAGACATTTAGAAAGTAATTGTTAGCACAGTTTCGTTTTAAGTACGGGTTAGAATTAAAGTTTCAACTTAAACTGTTGAGCTAATGTTAGGATTATTTTAGAAACGATATGAAGATAACGTAGCAGGAAGCAAAACGTTCAGATTTCAAGGATGATTTTAGGCCATCTGCAAGTAAGTATTTAAATAAATTTTCCACGTAAGAGTCTTACTAGGTAAAGAACCTGAAACAGGTTCTGTACTTTGCGAAAATGGAAACTAACTATTCTTGAAAATCATAATATTTACATTTTATGGCTATGCAGTTAATTTTTGATTTAACCAAATAAAATTAAATTTATCATATTTAAAATAACGTACCTGTTTTGCTTGCAAAGCAGAAGAGCAGTAACAATACCAGCAATCAAAGCAAGACCCAAGATAATTCCAATGATCCAACTATAGTCATTTTCCGCTTGTGTTGCGGCTATATGCGTCTCGCATCTTTCTCCAATAAATAAATATGGACATCTGCAAACAGGATTTAAATATCTTGATACACCTGTTACACTGCAGTTTTACAATTTGAAAATATTGCATTACGAACAGCCTAATTTACCTTCGATACATTTTACAATTCAATACCTAGATTTTAAAATGAGACTTTATAGAAGGAGGCAAATTTCGATTGACCTTTGGTGTTTATACAGACTTGGTATCATATGGCAGTAACATTCTGACAGAACAAACCACGAGCCTGGCGGTTCCAGAACTCCGAGGAAAGATCATCCTATACGGTTGGACCAAGGGGGAATTGGCTGCAAGTCCTGATCTGTTCGTCTCGGTAGTGGACATGGCTTGCCCCCTGATACGTATTCCGTACAATTCCACGATTTAGGTGCGACGGCCAGTCCGTTGTACATATATTCAATATCAGTCCTTCAGACTGGGGATGCTCATATAGTACTGGCGGAGGGGCACTTTGAATAACCAGTGAAATCACTCCAATAGCTCTGCTCTTCATGATAGTCTTTACTCGCCGACAGTGGTGACTGCGGGTTCCAAGTTCAGCCATGAGTTTTGAGAGCTCGTTTTGAATCTGTCGCCTGTAAGTATAGGATGGGCGGCAGTACAGTGCATTTTCTTAAGTTCTCGATGGAAGCTATATTGACCGACACACTCACCTCCCGGCTATTACGGAGCTAGCTAAAGTTCGGGGTGGGGCTTGGGTGTGTGTGTCTACCTTAGATCGTGGTACCAATTAATGCATAAACCAGTTACTCTGTATCTAAAGACCGTCGCCAGAATTTACATCAATGTTGCAATGTATTTTGTGCCTTCCGTAACTCTTTCATCAAGCTGTCCATTGCCGTTGTATTGAGGGTTGATCTATAAAGAAAATTCTGATACTATTCTCGATCCAAGTTTTCATGCCAATCTTGTGTTTTAGCCTTACTGGCTCACCCACCTATGATCTTTACGTTTCATGCCTAACCATGCATTTCATATCAAAAGTGCTTTTACATGTTCCGTTTCTTAACGCTTGTCCCTTTTTTTGTTAAACACCGGGCTTAACATTTATTATACTGGTGGCAAGTTACCGTCCAAAAATATTTAAGAAATTTTATCAGGTTTACTTTCTTTGGATACTAAAGTTTAATAATGGAAAAGGCATATATTTAGAATATTTTTTCTAGTGAATCATGCAGTTTAAATACTTACATTTCGTTCGCAAATGCACTTGTTTCGTGTCTTTATAATATTATGAATTATAGTTTCTCCTGTATGAAGCTCAGTTTCGATTAAAATAATCTATTGGTTAAGACAATAACACGCTGAATAAATACTAATTCAGAAGTCAAAATCAACAAAAATCAGCGTTATATTTACAAAATTTTCACAGGACTAGTTTCGTTTCGATGGTTTTACCGAACCACCATCCTCAGCTGCAAAACCGCAAATGAACAAGATAGGAAATAATGATTAGATAAGATAAGAAAGCCTGGACAAGAATAAGCTGTTGGTGAAACCAGAACTAAAGCATAATTTCTTTAAAGGCCGAAGGCAAATTTGGATTGGAATTAGGATCGTTAACTAGAACAGAAAGATTTTTATGAATGTGAAATGCCTCTAGAAAATCCAATTCTCCAATGGAAGATGTTTTCTGAATAATTTTGGCAGCAGAAAAATTGAAAGTGTGGTTTTCGGACCAACAATGTTGAGCAACAGACTTCTGTGTTTCCTTTTTTCTAACATATGCCTCATGTTCCTTGACGCGAAATTTTAAGGCTCTCTTAGTTTGGCCAATGTAAATTAAACCACACTGACAAGGAATCCTATAAATACCCCAGGAATTCATATCCGGAATGGGGTCCTTGAGTATGGAACTCGCAATTTTATTGATGGGAGAATAAACAACCCGAAAGTTAAATTTCTGCAAAATATGTGCAACTTTATAGCTAATTGATGGAAAGAAGGGAATGACAACAGAAATTTTAAAATCTCCTAAAAGAAGAGTGTGCCTTTTAGTGTGTTGAGATGAGAATTTTTTAACTGCTTGATTAATAATATTGGGTGAAACGGAGAATGCAGTTAATCATCATAAAAACACCCTTGCAGTTAAATTCGAAAAACTTCTTTTACAGTCTTCCAGTTCAAGTAGTCAAAAAATCTTCCCATTGTAAACATCAAGCCAATAGTTAATATTTCTAATGTTACTCTTTCAGAAGAACAAGAGAGAATTTTAAAATATAATTTTAACTCCTCACAAACCTGTAAACCCTCGATTCCAAAGATTTTGGCTCCTATCGAAAAAGCTTTCAAATTCAGCAAAGTTTCAGATTCACAGAAAGAAATGATTAGGCATCTTATCGCTCATAATGTGAATTCCAATAATAAACCTTTGAAACCAAATCTAACTGCGAGAGAAAGAGATACAATGCGTGAAATTCATTCTAACCCGGATATTATCATTTCAAAGGCCGACAAAGGTGGCCAGATAGTCGTCATGGATAAGAACACTTACATCGATGGTGTCACTAAACTCTTAAACGAAGGACCATATAATTCGATCCCTAAAGATCCTTCACCTTCGGACTTGTCAAAAATAAAAACTGCGATCAAATCTTCGCAAATCATTTCAGGCAACTTAAATCATTCACTTATCCCATCTGTTGCGAATTGTGCCAGATTATATGCTCTTCCCAAAATTCATAAAAGTGGTATACCTTTCCGCCCTATTGTATCAAATTTAGGTACTGCCTCGTATCCATTAGCTAAATATTTAGTTTCTAGATTTTCAACTCTATTAGACAATAACATTTACACCATAAGAAATTCAATAGAGTTTGTAAAAAAGGTTAAAGACATTTGTCCTAGTAATTTACTCATGGTTTCTTTTGATGTAAAATCATTCACCAATGTCCCAGTGGAGGGTGCATTAAGATGTCTAGAAACCAGACTTCGGGAATTTCATTTCTTTTGCATCGAAATTGATGAGCTAATTTCTCTCACTCAACTCTGTTTGAAACAAACACATTTTGTTTTCCAAAATAAATATTACAAGCAAACTGAGGGATTAGCCATGGGAACGCCCCTCAGTCACATCCTGGCTGATATCTACATGCATTATTATGAATCAAAATTGAACCTTTAAAGGCTTGGTTCCGCTACGTAGACGATACTTTTACCCTGTTTGAAGGTAATAAAGATGATTTAAATAAAGTTCTTTCAAGAATGAATTCTATTGATCCTGCTATGCAGTTCACTTTTGAACTTGAGAATTGCAATTCTCTTCCGTTTCTCGACATTCTGGTCACACGTACACATCCAACTTCAGTACTACGGTTTACCGTAAACCTTCATCGGTTTGCCTTCCACCACACTTTAAATCATGTCATCCGACTAAACAAAAGTTGGCTTCATTTTATTCCTATGTTTTCCGTGCTCTTCAAGTTTGCTCCTCCAAACTAGTCCTTGATGAAGAACTAAATTATTTAAAAGCAATAGCTATTGACAGGGGCTTTTCACCCAACATTATTAATCAAGCAGTTAAAAATTCTCATCTCAACACACTAAAAGGTACACTCTTGCTTTAGAGGATTATAAAAATTCTGTTGTCATTACCTTCTTTAAATCAATTTGCTATAAAGTTGCACATATTTTGCAGAAATTTAACTTTCGGGTTGTTTATTCTCCCATCAATAAAATTCAGAGTTCCATGCTCAAGGACCCCATTCTGGATATGAATTCCTGGGATATTTATAGGATTCCTTGCCAGTGTGGTTTAATTTACATTGGCCAAACTAAGAGAGCCTTAAAATTTCGCGTCAAGGAACATGAGGCATATGTTAGAAAAAAGGAAACACAGAAGTCTTCTGTTGCTCAACATTGTTGGTCCGAAAACCACACTTTCAATTTTCTGCTGCCAAAATTATTCAAAAAACATCTTCCATTGGAGAACTGGATTTTCTAGAGACATTTCACATTCATAAAAATCTTTGTTCTAGTTCACGATCCTAATTCCAATCCAAATTTGCCTTCGGCCTTCAAACAAATTATATTTTAGTTCTGGTTTCACCAACAGATGGCGCCACTTGCTTATTCTTTGTCCAGGCTTTCTTATTTAATTATTTCCTAGCTTGTTCATTTGCGGTTTTGCAGCTGAGGATGGTAGTTCGGTAAAACCATCGAAACTAGTCCTGTGAAAAATTTGTAAATATAACGCTGATTTTTATTGCTTGACTTCTGAATTAGTAATCTATTGGTATTTAAGAAGGAATAAAGGCATTAATCCAAAGACGTCATGCAGTTTGAAGAAGGTTTCCCACTCAATTCACTTCAAAACTCGCAAAAACAAGATGCAGTTAGAACAAAATGCAAGTTTTTAATTTATTGTAAATACTGAGTCCACAAAAACAGCAAACACAGTTAAGAACTCAAGTCTATTAAAACGTAAGCTTCATGTTGTCAGTGTGGAAGTAAATACGTGAAGTTTAACCCGTATTTATTCTTTCAAATTACTCTTTAAATAAGATAATCTTCAGCTTGAAGATGTTGAGACAAATTTACGTAACACTAAACATTATTTATGGAGTTAGTTCTTTTGTTAAAATATACATGTGTAGACCTTACGTTATAGACTATTAGAAGTTTATCATTATGTAGTGCTACAAGTAATACTATATACTGTAAAATAAAGTTTTCTATCTGCAGATAAGCTAACAATACTTTTAAACAACATTCTTATTATTCAGGTAAGCCGATTGCTTTGTTTCCCTTAATAAAACCCATATACGAAAGGACTTGCCATCACTGAATAGTTATACTTACTCGCAATGGTACCTTCCTTCGATGACTGAACACGGCGAATCTTGAAAACAGTATGAATCTGGGCAACTCAGTTTAGTTTGGGGTGGTTTCACTGTAGTTTGTTTTCTTTGGTATCTTCGTGTGGTAGCTCGCGAAGCTGAACTTGGTATGGTAGTGGATGTAACATAGGGCCTGGTCTTGGTTTGGGGTCTAGTCCTGGTGTGGTATCTTGTGATTGTCAGGAGTTCACAAGTGCTGTCATTACGAAGCAGATATTTATCATCACACCGACAAACGAAACTGGAGCGTGATTGTAAACATAACTGCTGACATGTGTTGGAGGCGCAACGGTTCTCACCTAAATATTAAAAGTTTTCGTAAGTACAAAAATTAAACTTTTTCTTTAATACGAAGAAAGGGATTAATAGTTTAATAACCACTTAAAATACATACACATTTTGCGTACTTAAGATATAAGCAGCAGTTAAGAAAAATAAGCTTGCTATGAAAAGGAAAATGGTAATAAAATTTAGTAGATTTAAAGAACCCTTTAAACTGAAGACAAATTTAAACCGAACGCAAACACTTAGCATCTCTTGAATTATCAATATTTTGAAGTTAAGAATTTCTATTTCCTTTAAAAGCCTATATTCGTTGAATTTCTTATCTACGTCAAAATTTGGCACGTTTCTAATCAAGAATTTAAGATACGTACTAATTTCTGATTATGACTGAATAAAAAAAGCCGTAATATAATGTCCGAATCGAAAGATTATTTCAGTACAGAGAATTGAACACACAATTCTACTTGCTAAAAGCGCATGATTAGTTATAAGCATCAGAGAGTTAGCCGACTGATGAGAGGTATGCATTCATGAGTTTTCCGTGAACATACAGTCAAAATTAAGTCCGATAGAAGAAAAAGTAACTCGCATTAAGCTTATTCATCTGCTTGGCTTGATTTCTTACAAACTGCCATTTTGTTGCGGCTAGTGTTTAGCTCCAATATTTTACAAATATCCTCAAATGGAAGCAACATTTACTTTCAGAAAATGCCTTAATATAGTGGGCGAATGTTCTTCACTTGAACCAGTTATCTTGTCCGAGGAGTCGGTGCTGAGGAGTCAAATAGGACCGAAAGTATTCAGAACAGCCGCAGCAACATCAGTCATCTTCGAAGAATAGAGGAGTTTGTGCGAGATCTATACTGAAGAGCTTGGCCAAAATAGCAAGTCAGTCGATGAGCTGATCCGGAGAAAATTGGATATCAGTACAGTGAGGACAGCTATTATAATTTCGATGGCCATCAGAAGATATCTTCATTCCTTTCAAGTTTTTTGGCCTCAGTCTGGCTATGGTAGTGGAAATGATACGGTTATAATTTAGGGCAGGAATGGAGTTCTTGGTTGATTGGAAGGAAAGTCTTCAGCTGGCTATTGCGTCAGCATCAGTAAGGGTTAAGCTATTGGAAAGTTGAGAACCTTTTCGAGCACCTTTGGCAAGGCCATAAGCCTGCTCATTTCCGTAAATATTAACATACGCTTGTATCCACTGTAATAGTGTTGTTCATAATAATGTTTAAACCAGTGGCAAGCGAAAAAGAAATAGATTGAAATAATTGTAGGATAAAATAACAAAGAATCTGAAGAACTGTTTCAGGATGCAAATTAAAGCTTCGGGCGAAAGCTATTTATATTAAAATACATACCTTTAGGTTGCTGAACTCTGTGTACTACCACCATAGCTTCAGCTTTAGCGTTTCCTTTATGGAAGACGAAGCAACTGGATCCTGTAAACTTGTTGCAGCGAATGAAGCTGTCCGTTCCAAAATCTGCCCAAAATACGGTATCTTCGAAAAACGTCAAGGAGAATGGGTAGTACATGTCTTTGGTAGGTACTTGCCTCCTGAAAGCGGTCAAGAATTCAGACTTTATATATTTTATCATATCCAAATAGAATTTGAAATTGCAAGAGTTATATGTTTAGCCCAAAAATAAGATGCATTAACTGGCAAGACTCATTACCTGTGAAGTCCATGGAAATCGGCACATTCTAATGTATTTAGATTAGTATCAGTCCAGCAAATTATATTCAAGACTTGATCTACTGTAATTGACGCAGGCCAGTCTATATCCCGAGAAATGAGAGTTATCTTTTCGGAGCCATCTGTTTCTGCCCTCTCGATGACACCAAAAGTCTTCTGGAGCACGGTACTCCACACACACCAGAACATAAGCCTAAAAATTGAGTCTCGTAAGAGAGGGGACACTGAAATACTTTTAATTAGTGCTACACATATACGAAATTTATATGAATTTTAACAGGTGCAGGAAATTTTTTAAATATAGCCTTAAAAATTCGAAATAAAATGGAATTTTATTTATAAAGAAATGGTACGATTCAAAACAAAATTTTTCATTTCACTGAAAATTTACTGTGAAAACTAATTTTTAAATTTAATGGAAATTATTTTGTGCTTACTTAAATTTGGAAAAATTTCGCATTTTAATAGCATTTAAAATATATCTCATTAATTCAGATTCTGAAATATGAAGTTTTGAATGAATATCCGTATTTGAGCGTTAAATTATATGCATTCTGAACAATATTTAAAATACGCAAGGCATTTTTAAGATGTAATTAGAAACACAAAAACATTTAAATTTAACACTTAAAAAGAATTCCTTTTATTCAAAAGTATTTTATCCACATACATTTTACAGTAAAGTACTACAAAAATATTCCATAAATTTCTTGTTACCGATATTCAGTTAAAACTTAAAATCGCGTCTAAGAAATCTCCGCTGCCATACGCTTCAGTTTCCGTATTTCTATTAGTTTTTAATTTCTTTAAACAAAACTGAAAAATGATAAGAAACAATGAACCAAATAATCCATTTCGGTGATTAAAAATCGGAAACATTGATGTAAACAAGTTTCGAAGAGAAATTACAATTACAGCTTAAGACGCGCGATTACAGAAAGTAAACAGTATTTAATTGGGCCAGTCAAAATACAGTAAAATTATGTTTAACAAATGTTTACAATTTTATTGTCACTTTAACGACACTTTAGCTATTTCATATGGTTATTAAAAATAACTTCAGCACATGCAGGTTTCTGCAGACAGTTAAAAGCAAATATTAGACTCCAGTTTTTGTTCGACGTTTATAATATTTTTATGACCACTCATCCTAAATTCCTCTTTCACGAGTGATTTGCATTTATGTTTTAGAGCGCTTTGTTGAAACAAGATTTAAAATTTAAACGCTGAAAATTTTATTTGCTGAATTAACGAAAACATTATTGGAACTTTCATTTCCGGTAGGAAATGAAGGCATCTACCCTACTTTACTTAAAAACTAGTTTACCCTAATTTACGTAGAAGTAAAATCTCAACTAGTTGTAAATCTGCTTAGTTCTAATTACTGCAAAAAATAATAGTTAAAATGATATTCACTAAAACATTCTCATTATCAAGATAAAAGGGAATTCCATTCGTTGACATTTAACACGAAAAAGGCGAAGCCGATTTTCTAACACTTGGGCAATAAAACCTCGTGGGGTTTGTATTCAATTACACTTCGACATATCAAAGTTTCAATTTATTAAGTTTTTATTCTTGGTATAGAGTGAAAAAAATTATCTAAATTTTTATTTTCAAAATAAAGAGGTATTTACACATTTTTAAAACAAGCTAAGGGACGTTTAATGTTTCAAATGTAAAGAGTTTTTTAAATGCTCAGACTGATGGCCATTTTCTTGAACTATTTATAGCTCTGTATTATAATTTCCACATAAGGGTTTTTATAAAATTTACAGGTGTTAATTTTCATTAGTCTTCCAGCGCTTTTCATAATCTATTAATCCTGGTGAAATTTGCGCGTAGAAGAGCTCGTTCCAAGATACTTATAGCACAATAGTCACAGGTGAAACGAAGAGTTTTCGCAGGAATATATTGTAAAAATATACATGCAATACATATCAAATTTTTTCGAGACCTGCATTGGTACTTTCCGAAGTATGATTCGTTCTTTGTTTTGATAAAGTTGAACTATTTGAAAGCAAGCAGCATAAAGAAAGGAATTTCTTCTGCATAAATCGGACGAGGTTTTTACATTTTTCTCCGTTTTTGATGACGGACCATTTTCTGCTAGTCATTTGGGTAAACCCATGCTTCCATAAGTAAACAATGTTTTTCCATTTATCTCCAACTAAATAAGTTTCATACAGAATTCAAACACGTTGTTCCCCCGTTGCTACAGATGTATTTAAGAACTTGAAATCGATTTCTGCATCTTTGGAATTTCTCGTTACCAACGATGTGAACTTTCGAAACATCAGCAAAACGTATCTTTCCCGGGTATTGGTTTGGAACCTTCTTTCCAGGTACAAGTAATAACTGACAGTTTTTCCTTTTCTGATTAATAATGCTAATTTTGCACTTGGAAATTTTAATACCAAGCATTTCACAAAGGTTTTTCAATTATGGAGGAGGAATAGCGTTTTCGTAAAGTGCAGAATCATCGTTCAAAACAGCTCGTTTACATGCAGCATTTTGAAGCAAAACATTTAAAACTAGCAGATGACATTTCCAATTTCAAATGATAAGATGTTGCCAGAATTTTATTCCAGAGCATTTTCTTTTTGTTTAGAAAAAATTAGGTAAAGAATTAAAAACCTTCTGTAGAATGAAATTTGTGGAACACTCTTGGTCGTCTTTCTAATGGACCTAAAGCAAATGCTAGAAAATAAAATTTAACCACAACAGAAAATCTACAAAGCATTATCAAGAGATGGAAAAGGCAAAGCAATTTATCTTTTGGGCAGCTACTATTTAAAAAGTGTATTAATAAAGGAAACGCTTCAGTCGAGATGTATAGAAAGTAAAAAATGTCCTACCCTTTCACAGGCGAAATAGCGAACCCATTCACAAAAGGTGCCACAGAACGTAGGATAGTTGAACAATAGGTTCCGTCTTTGTTGCAAGCTACGATGTCTACTTTATCCGTTGTGTAGTAGATGTTTTTAGCTATCCAATCAAATCTGAGATAGTTTGGTCTCTCTTCACAGTCAATCAATTTATCTTCTCGCTTGGAATCAAAGCTGTAACTACTTACAGTTCCCTAGAAAGAATACACATAGATAAAATTCGCAAAATAAGGATTTTAAATAGTTCCCCCAGAAAGAAAGGCTCAAAAACACTCAAAGCTAATGATTAGAAAACTCCCATGTTTCTTGATTTTAACAGAAATAAAATTTTCAATACAATCAAAGCTGAATTGACAGTCTATAAACGGTCAATATATTTGAAAATATTTGGAGGACAGGTATTCGCAAGCCCCGATGTCTTATGCAGACTTATAGCTCCGTCAATCAGACTTGTGTAATGGTAATTTAGGTTTTAAATTTTGCAGTGATGTGTGCATTTCCGGTTGAGAACCTATTTCTAATTTTATGAGCACTTACAATGTATGAAGTTCAAAATTTTAGTAGTATACGAAACTTCCGTTAAAATATTCCGCATTAAAGAGAGTGAAAGAAAGTAATCATCGAAAAATGACAGATCGTTCATGCTCGTCAGGATGTTTACAGGTTATCAGAATAAGCATACCTGACATAGCAAACTCTTAAATATGCGATATTTTTTCTGCTCACACAGAAAAGAGCAGAATCTTCTCAATCTGCGAATTTGCCAAATTTAAAAGTCATCTAAAATGTATTGTCACGTACGTACGGACTCGTAATGGATTAAATGGACACAGAACAAATTATGGTTTGACTAAATGTATTTACGAACGAAACACTTTACAGTTATCGCACTTTTCACAAAAGTACTGGTACAACGTTTCAATATATCAGAGCACAATCTGTAATCTGACTCAAACTACTAAGAACGTTAAACACAAGACAATGCAAAGCTCATATAAAGTGCAAAGCTTCCATGGAGACCATGTACTCCGAACTCAACTATGAACTAAAACTGGTGCTCACTCCAGTCTTACATAAATTTGGCCTGGACAAATTTAGACATTCCCTGATCGTGTAATCTCTTGTTTCGGTGATCAGGATTGGCCCCCTAGATCATGTGATTTAACACCAATAGATTTCTTCTTATGGGGTTATTTGAAGTAAAAGGTCTATGTAAACAATCCCACAAACACACGTGCATTACAAGAGGAAATTAAACGCTGCATCAACGAAATTCAGCCACAATTATGCAGAAAGGTCATGAAAGATTTCGACGAAAGGGTGCGTATGTGCCAGCAAAGCCGTGGAGGCCATTTGCCCGATGGGTTATTTCCATAAATAACCCTATCTTATGTACTTTATTATTCACTTAAAAATAAATATCTAAAGACTAAAAACTCTTATATTGAAATCAAATCTTTTAATTTGGGGACACCCACTACTATTGGTCATTCACTTCGGAGGCAGGCAATCCCGGTAGGCCGAGAAACCACGAAGGAAAACTTAATTTAACATGCAGCGATAACAGCCCGAGACACTAGTTAGTAATCGTACGGTCTCTCTCGAGCCTGAACGGACCACCTAAGAAACGGTGTTTGAAGTCTTGTGAAGGAAGTTTATGGCGCCCATACTGTCGACTCAACTTATGGACGTTACGAGTGATCAGCTCTGGGTTGTGAAGCCCGGTTAGCCACATCAGCAGGACAACTGCTCATTCTCTGCTACCCCGCCTCTGTGTAGAGAGAATGCAGTTTACAACGATCAGACCAATTATACAGGGATCCCACAGAAATGTCACCAAGTTTGGCGATTTCAGCAGTAGATCAGTTGTTCTCAACCAATTTTGCCTTACGCACTCCTTTCAACGTTGCTAGAAGATTTTGCCCCTTTACGTTTCATAACGAAAAAGGCATTTAGAATTTTGTTCGCGTTTTTATCAAGTAAGCAAAAAGTATAGGAAATGTTGAATATCAAAACTTGAAATAAAAGTATTTTATGTTCATAAACTAAATACTTAACAGTTAAATAAGATGTTGTCTCCATTCCTCTCCCCAAAACGTATTCCCTCCAGAAAGGAATTACATCCTGGTCTAAGACAGTACTAAAACACATTGACAGTTTCAAGCTTCAACCAGCTGCCTATTAATTTACGCAATGATCGCCAAAACTTAACATGGGAATGTTGAACATTTTATTGCATTAGACAGAAGATATGCAAACAAATTTTAAAGATTTAAATATTCCCCCGCATTTAAAAAGGTACAACTGTGTATATAAACAATATATTAAATTAACGAAAAAGTACTGTAATTATAAAAACATTACCCGTCTCCAGTCGGCCCAATAAATGACTCCTTCAGAAGCATCATAATCGATTCCCATTATCTGTGAATACTCCGAATTCACGTAGACCTTTTGAGTATGGCTGCTTAAATCTATGCCCCTGATCTGATCTGGTAGCGAGTAGACGAGAATGGCAGATCCTCCGTCGGCTTTGCACGTCCGGTGATCTTGCTCCAAGAAATAGCCTTCAGCACAACTGCATTTGAATCCTCCTTTAGTATTATTGCAGAAGTGGCTGCAACTTCCAGGAGAAAGGCATTCGTTAATATCCTCGCAAGCTTTCCCATCTGGCATCAACCTAAAGCCATCAAAACAGGAGCACTTCGGTCCGTACGGCATTTTGGTGCATTTGTGAGCGCAGCCACCATTATGATCACAGGCTTTGAGGCACAAAGAACTTTCGTCCGTTAGATCAACGCAGTCATGCCGCCCATCGCAAACTCTCGGCAGTGGTACACATTCCCCGGACATCAAGCATCGAAAGTCTTCACATTCAGCTGAAATTATAAATTTATGTACAGCAACAATCAAAGCTAAACACTTAAATTCCAAAATTATTAAAACATTTCATAGTCAGGACCTGGTTTGGAAGGCGCAACTGTTGTCTGACCATTTGAAAGACATTTTTCGTCTTCATCAGACGCATCACCGCAGTCATCGTCACCGTCGCATAGCCATTTAAGAGAAATACAGCGTTTCGAAGAAGCACACAAGTACTGTCCTGCAGTACAGTTTTCAGCAGCTGTAATACAGAAAATCTTAAACATTAGGTTATAACATTTTAGTTCCGTAAGTATCAAAAGTAAATCAAAGGTTTTATATTGCTCCAGACGTTTCACAACTAAGAAAAAGTTTAGTCCAATTCTAGAAAAAATACGATCAAATTTCAACTATGTGCACCACAAAATTTAAATTAGTTTAACAAATCAGAAATTTTAATCATTCCTAGAAGAGAGCTAAGCAACAACCAAGTCCTTTTCTTTAAAGCCTTTAAAATAAAACAGGAATAAAGCTCCTTTTAAATAATGAGCTTGATAATTTTATTTTACGGTTTAATCATTTACTCCATGATTTATTTAATCTCAATATTACTCTTCAAAGTAGGCAGCTATAAATTCCAGTTTCAGTTCAAGCAGCAAGTTTGGCTCAAGTGGGACATAAAAGACATGCGTTGGTCAATGTATCAAGCAAGACAGCTGTTGGGACATTTAGCTAGTTTTCCGGTATGCATCATTGAAAAATGATTAAATTTCACCTAGATTGTAATTATAATCAGAAATGACGATTTTTAAAAATTCAACAAAATACTGCTTTGCTATGAAGTATTTCAGGGTGCGGATGTGTAGATTTTGATTAGAATCCATAGAAGATAATTCAAAAAGAAATTATTTGGTGTTTCATGGTATTCTAGAAATCAAATACGAGCATTACAGTGGAAGAATATTTCAACAAAAGGCTAATACATAAAAATTGCTAATGCATAAAAAAAAGGGCAGAAAATTTTGCCATGTTATAACTTATCTCAGTTTAATTAACCGAAAAAATATTTAGAACACGTAATGGTAAAATTAAAGACAAATAAAGTGATAATTCGTAACTGTAGTAACTCGGGTTTTAACAGGGCTAAAGTGTAGCGAAATTACAACTACTATTGAGCTTGAGCACTTATTGACATAATTAAATACTCAACTAACAAGATTTTAAAAAGGGAGTTAAGAGATTGAGCCCACCGGTGGCAGAGCGGTAAAGTCACGTAAACACTGGTAGTAGAATCAGGGTTCAAATTCAGGCGAACGGGCTGGCTGCATTGGCGCAGTTTTCCCCCTATGTAACGTGAATACTAGCAGTTGCCCTTAGAAAGTCCTCTACGAAAGTATCCCTCTCCTTAGGCAGATAGCTCTCAAGTGGTTTACTGTAATGGAATAAGCCAAACATGATAATTTGAAAATTTACCCAATTGCTGTTTTAGCAACGCTAATATTTAATGCTCTGAGTAAACTAATGTTTAATATATCTTCTAAAATTTGTAAACTTAATTTGGTTATAAATACAGACTGTTTTTAGAAAAGAAATAAAACCCTAATAAGTTGAAATATGCATTTTCTCACATATACTGGTGTCATTTGGGATTTTGACAGAATATCAAGTTCAGATATTATGCAAGGCTCATTGGCTGTTATATCATTAGTCAAGATGGTAAGGATGTTAGTGTGAGCTGAAATAGTTCTTGAGAAATGCACACTCAAATTCAGGGGATAAATAAGTTTTATGTTTTCGGTTGTAAGTTGTCAAAACGGAAAGAAATATGGCTATCCCGGCTAACCAGATGTCCTCATAACGTGATACCGGTGGATCTGGCAATAACCACCAAAAGATGGCCATGAAAATCTTAGATGGACTGTCTCTCCTTGTTGAAACTGCCACTTATGGTGACAAGAACTAATGCCCTTCTAAAGAAACATTTTGCCCAGCTCATTATTCACCCATTTCGTTTACATCATTCATTAAGAAATATGGCTCAGTGAGGAGAGTTCTACTCTACAAAAACTACACATCCTACTAGAGTGTCCTGTGTATTCGCTGGAACCAAACATTTTGGTGACTGATATTCTACCACGGCAATGTAGAAAAGTGGGAAGAAACGCTTTATCAACTAAATTATTATCGATTACGATTCTACACTCATGTCCATAAATTAAGGATAATGCAAAATCAGGCAAAGGAAGAGTTAGAAGCAAAAAAAATTTGACTTACTTGTAAAGCTTATTTATTAAAAAGGTAAAGAGCAAAAAAAGATGCCATATGTTTGATATTATTAAAAAAATTAGCGATTTTTTCTCCCTGGAGCAAATTAAAAAAAAGCCTATTTACAAAAAAACCACTATTACATGGTTGGTATGATTGTCAATACATTGTACGTCTCCCAGACGATGCAATACAGTCCGTGCAACGCCTAGGCATACTGACTATCAAATTATCGATCTGATCTTGGGGGATATTACACCACTCAAAAAGCAATGCTCTCCGAAGTTCCAGTAGACATGTAGGAGGAGATTGACGGGCTGCAACTCGTCGGCCAAGCATGTCCCACACTTACTGGATTCAGGTCCGGTGAGAATGCTGGCCATTCTATACGGGTGATATCCTCCGATTGAAGGCATTCGCTTACGATGTTTGCACGGTGATGACGGGCATTGTCATCCATAAACACAAACTGTGCGCCCATGGCGCCCCGAAACAAACGTACATGTTGTTCCAGAATGACGTCCCGATAGATTTGGCTTGTCATGGTTCCAATTTGAACATGCAGGTCAGTTCTGGAACCCAGAATAATTCCACCCCAAACGAGCACTCCTACACCACCGTAACGGTGTCGTTCAATGATGTATTCTTGGTGGTAACGTTTACCTGGAGCTCTCCATATGAAAGTCCCGCGAGAATCAGACTGCAAGCTAAACCTGGACTCTTCGGAAAACATCACACAAGCCCACTGTTGCGGTGTATACAATGCATGCTCTCTACTCCAGGCTAACCGCAGGCGACAGTGAGTTCCAGTAAGTGGAACTCATCTGACAAGTATACGAGCATATAGACCAAGCTGCCCTAAGTGTCTGTACACGGTCTGCCTTGAAATTGTACCAGTGGCTGAAGAGAGCTAATGAGACAGGTCCGAGGCTGTGCTCCGCTCGTTTCTTTTGGCAGTAACTGCCAAATACCGGTCCTGATTCCGCGTTGTAACTTTGGGGCGACCTGTGCTGTAACGTCTACTCACATTACCATCATCTTGGAATAGTTCCAAAGCCTGGAGATGACACTCTGGGCAATTCCAAGTTCGTCTGATACTTCCAGTTGGGTACGCCCACATTCCAGACGGCCGATAATTATACCATGTAAAAATCATCCAAATACGTCCTTTGTGTCATAACTATTCGGTTATTTTACTAAAATGCTTATAAAAGCGCCTGCGAACAATTTTACTTCTTTGCCTGTATTCCTTATATATCACTCTCTTACACTCTCGTCATTGTGACGTACCATCGGCGTCATCTGGTTACTTCCTGAAATTTGCATATAATTCTTGAAGATATGTGTAGTGATTTTACAGCTGATGTATTTATTTTAGAGTTCGATTTCCGCGTGACTCCGAATTATTATCCTTAATTTATGGACATGAGTGTAATTGTAGCATATTGAAGGCCTTTATCTATTGATGCTTGAAAATATTCTCACGCAAACCAGATTTGCATACGAAGTAGTATTTCACAATGTTGTGTTTCACCGGAGCTATTATCCCTACGTGCAAGTGTGAAAACGTCCAGCAATCCAAAAATCTCAAAATATATCTATTTCTGCAATGTCGTACATTTAAATATTCATTTTAGAGGACATGGTGACATTTCTTTGATTTAGTCCGATAATTAGGGTTATGTGTAATTATTGGATAAAATAGTTTAAGTTTCAGGTGTAGAATAGTGAGCTCATTTAAACTGAAAATTGTTAAAAAATAAAACATTGACTGGAATGATAGCTGTGCGACTTAGTTATTACAGCCTATTAATCAAGAACTTTAAGAATAACATTATCAAGCATAAAAACTTAACGAATTTTACGTAAAAGGCTGAAAGAATTGGTTAATGATATTAATTATTTTCAGTATTTTAGGGTTATTTATGGACACAATTTTTTCTTTAAGGAATTTTAAAAAACTTTATGCTCTGCAGGTGAACAAGTCTGTTAACAGAAAACTTAATTTTGTATCATTTGCAAAGGATTTGAATTTAACTATTTTGAGCTTACCTTTACAATTTAACTCTTCCTCCCCTTTCGGGCAATCTTTAAATCCATCGCAGACATCGTGAATGTAAATACAGGATTCATCGCTGCATTGAAATTCATTTGCTTTGCAAGGAATATTCTCTGAAAATGAAAAACAAAAATCTGAAATGAATCAATCGCTTTATGTTGTTTAAGGATATTTCACGAAATAGAAATTCTCATACATTGATAGTAATATGATCTTACGAAAGTAATCATGCTAGAATGCTAATTACACCATTTTTCAGAAATGAAATGTACAGTAATAGGTAATTGACAAATTTTTCACAATGCATATGAACCTTAAACGTCGAGAAGTAATACAATTAAGCTACTAAAATACTTTTGCTTAGAATTATAAAATTCCTTTAAGAGAATGTCTAGCCACATTCTGGTTAGGAGAACAGCCCCATCTTTGAGAGCTGATAAAATATACTTGAATACTCCACGTTCTTCTCCAGATGTTATCTATTTGAATACCTCCAACAATGCCACTCAAAATATTTCCAAGACTGAAAGCCCAGCTACTAGTGTTTTATGATTTAATGAGCATCTGAAAAAAAAATAATGGGAGACTACATTTGTTCTAACAATGCTCTGGTCCAACATGTTGACTTTGTAAAACTGTTCTGCATTTCGCGAGCGCAGGAAAACTTATTTACTTTATAATAGGAATTTGTATGCAAAGATTTCCATTAAATCCTATATACCCATTTAAATTTCGATTAACATGCTCTAAAACTGTTCGAGTTGGATGTTCGGACAATAACGTAATTTCCAGCTGTTGATTCAGTAAATCCATAGAACTCCTGGAGACGAGTCAGATTTCTACGGATATGGGTCAAAATTTTCAGTTATACAAGATGAATATTCTATTGTCACGAACGCCTTACTGGTCGCACCCCGCATACACTGGATGATAAAAGATACCGTAAGAGAATCAAGTAAAATATGGTTTATTATCGAAAATATTAAAATTTGGATTGAATTTATTAGATTACATCGAGTCTGATTAAAGCCCGTTCATCAGGGGCAAGTTGGAAGTGTTCAAGAATGTTCAAAACAGCATTTGAAAAAGGCATGAATTAAAAGCATATTTTGATGTTGAAATATTTAATAATGTGGTATTGCAAAGCCAGATTCTCTTTCGGTAATGCAATGTATCAATTTCCACGATTTATAATTGAGACACGAAAGTACTCTTTTAGTTAACTTAAAGTTCTCCATGGTTTAAAAACACGAGAAACCTAAAGACAATTTTTCCTACTATTTCAGTAGCTATAAAATCTGGTTTTAGGGAAATGATGGACGGTTTTTTACAACAAACTGAGGCATGTTGATACGTGTGTGTGCATTATATATAAAATAAATTTTAACTTCATCACAGGGATAAGATAAGCGTTTATTAAGAGAATGGAAAAGGTAAGCAATCCGTATACAGTAGCGATCAACATTACTACAATTCTGTAACTAAAGTTCTTAAGTTGGCAGGTTTCCCAAAAACGTAGATGACGTCATTTAACGCTCTGAAAGGCGAATACAAGTTAATAAGGAAAACGGAAATCACAATCATTGCATCTCGGGACATTTGGAGGTATAAAATATACAACAATGTGGACAAGAATCAATAAAGTTGCTGAGAACAACAGAAGCTAGGCCGCCCAACCAGGGTAGTGGTTAGCGACGCTGACTACAGCACCGAAGGACCCGGGTTTGATTCCCGGAGAAGGCATGAATGTTTGTAGATTTATAGCGTGTGGGCACTAAATATGCAGGGAGCCTAAAATCCTCTCGAGAGGTTAGGGGTAGGGAAAGAGGTGTGGAAGACCCTCGGACCCACCCCTACCCGGGGTGCTGTCCATCAAAATTGGGGGCGGAACTGAGCTACATCGCAGTCACCTGCATGGTGCTCAACGCTGTTGCCAACGGCAAGCGTAAACTTGCGTTCCTTGCCACGAGAAATTTCATGGGCTTGGGCTGACTATAGGTCAGACAAATGAGCATTAGCAGCAACAGCAACTTCAAGAGAAAAAAGCAGAATTTTTCCAATAAATTATGAATGCCTCTTCAGACACGGAAATCACTGCTACAACTGAAATGCTAATCTCAATGATAAAAACTTTCAGAGAATCCATTAAAAACGGTTCCATTTCGAATTAAAGCAACAGAAACTAGAAAAACTCAAACAATCAAAAATGAATCTTCCCGATACATTATGAAAATTTCTTATAACGGCGTGCATTTTAATAAGCTGTACTACGTACTTACAAAGAATGAGATTGACGATTCAGCATGAGATAGTTCAGCATGAGGTTTCCGAATATCTCAAGGTCGAATATTTCGAAATTTTAGGAAAAAGATTCCGAATCTAGAAAACCCTTCCGAAAGAGTGGCTCAAGAAAAGTTATGTTTTCATTTAAGTGTAATTTCAGAATAAAACTGCAGTAACATTTCATGATTACCGGTAATCAAATCTCTTAGTAATACGGGACGATAGAGAGCATACCATGTTTCTATAACAAGTGATGATAGCACATTTAATGTCTGGAAGTATTAAGAGTACGCAAAATATATCTAGCAAGCATGCGTTGATTTCACATGCTTGCAATTCCACTAGTATTTTGCTTTCATTTTTCCTGAAAGAAATAAATTAAACTGGAAATAATTTACGCCGTCGCATACTTAAGAAAAAAAAAGACATTTCAAGTCTCAGATTTGATGACGTTCCTCATAGCGCCCAACTCCCCCCAAAATGCTCATTCTGCGTATATTTTTCATTTCATATCAGTTAAAAATGGTGTAAAAAAACTGGTTCGCAAAACGAGACTGTTTTAGTTTATTTCTTTTCATGTCCTTCAGACTATCAGTTAAGGAGACATTTGCGTGTTTATAGTAGCTACTCAATTTTTATCGTTTGTGCTCATTTAACGTGCAAGCTATATAGCTTCATATACTCAACGGAAACTCAAATTCTAAGAGATTTTGATTGCAGAATTTTCCAATTTTACCTTCAATTCATAGAATTAATGTAGAATAGAATTCAAGTCATGAAGAGAAGCAATACAATTTTTTTTTCATTGAATACCATTTTTACGGCTTGCTGGAGAACCTTTCGAAACAACTCAGTTTAGAAAAACGAAGTTCCACTTGTAATTCTACGCTGAATACATTTACACAACGAAACATTTATCAACTGATGCCGTAAAATGAGCATATAGCTATAAAGTTATGAAAAGAATTTAGGATAGTTAAAGACAGTTTTAAAGCTGATTAAAATGACACAAGTCAACTTACTTGTGCAATTCTTTTCATCGGAACCGTCCGCACAGTCCTTCTTCCCATCACATACCATCAGTTTATCAACGCATGTCGCATCACCACATCTGAATTCCTTTAAACCGCACGCCTTAGGTTCAGTTGCTGAAATTTAAAAAGGGCCGATTTAAGTCTACATATTACTGCGTTCAAAGGAAAACCGAAATATTTATTCCAAAGCTCAGAAGTAATTATATCTGTAATATAGTCTATAGAGTTCAATTTACTTTCATGAAGGATGTGAACGCTCGATAAATGATGAGCAAACCTCTCGTGCGTCGCTGACGAACTCCGCGGAAGAAGCTGCGGAAATGTTCCGTCAAACTTATGCTAGTAAAGTTCTCAGTAAGCATCGCCGTTTTAATTCAGACATTCAGATCCCCGAGTACCAGTCTTTCATGCAGTAATTTCAGCTGGTCATGAATGATATGAATGTCTGGTCAGCATTAAATATCGTAACCTTGTACTACGAGATTTTCCCGTATTACCCCTGTGTCTTTGATAAGAAAAATCTGCACTGTTGATTGATCTTAATATAAATATTAAGGACTATTTTGCATCTCAAAATTCTTACCTCAGAATGAACCTGTTCCCTGTATAAAGTTTTACTTCTTTAACTGCTTAGTGTTCTAGGGTATCTATGCATACTGGACCCATGCTGATACTACCTGTTAGTAGGCCAAGGATGCTATGTAGCCATCCCTTCCTAACACTGATATCAGTTGCACACTGCGCAAAAAAAATTTCATTTTTCAGAGCTCGAAAGCGCGACATGGAATATTACGTTTATATATAGCATTGTTTCAACATAGGTATTTTGACACAAAATCGGACGTTTTCTCAAATAACACCAATTTTTTCCCATATTTCGATTCTACGACTCATATTATCCCTGGATATTAAATTTTGTAATTTTCGGCGAGAAATTTGAGAAATTTAAAACTTTAGATTGATTTTTTCAGTTTGTGACAAGAATTTACTTTACAAACTTTATAGCAACCTATTTTCCTTTCCTTTTTTGTACCCGACGGGAAAATGGTCAGCGTTCATAGTTTCAAATAATTGTAACAAAATGCGTAAATCACATTTGGCGCTATTATCGCTTATAACAAATATGCCAATTTCAAAAACTCGCCATTATGCAAATTCACTTATATCTTGGGAAATTTTGGATAAAACTAAATTTTGGCTGGTATGCTTAGAAATACCTGTACTTTAATACGGTAAAACTTTTAGAGGTTATAATTCAAAAGTTTTCACGAAAAATTTATAAAATATTTAAAAATAAATCAAAAATGGGAGAATTATATTTGGATTAAACCTACATTTTGAATTCTGGAAGAAGGAAGTTTTATAAGTTTAATAAAAGATTTTAAAAGTTTAATAAAAAGATACCAATAAATACCAAATTCAACTAACATTGAGGAACTAAACGTTTGCGAGCTAAGGTTTTAAAAACTACTCGTGCGATTTTTACAAAACTTGGCAGTTTGGCATAATTAGAATCTTTAGAATTGAAATATGGAAAAAATTGGCATGTCATTTCAGAAAAGTCCGAGTTTGTGTCGGAAAACTTACATTAGAACAATGCTATATATAAATCTAATGCACATACTAAGTCGCACTTTCGAGGCATGAAAAACGCAAGTTGAATTTCGTCCATCGGTCCAGTAGAATGGGAGATATAGAACTGTCCCTTTTGTTTTCCGTAGTGTACATGCAAGTTTTAATGCATCATCCCGATTTCTTACTGAACAGCTTAGTAGCTGAGATGACATGATCTCCAGGTATACGAATTTGCTATTTTATCTAGTGGCTACTTTTAGGATTACATCATGTATTTGGTCCTTTATTTGCCGGCATACGACATTTTAGCTGAAAGCCAATTGCTATGTTTGAAATATTATGTAGGACCCGATAATGATCAAAAATTATATTCTGTACTAACTGAAGGTTAAGCAATTCATTGCTTTAATACGGATTATGTATCTTGACGCCAACCTTCGGAGATGCGAGAATTACAAACACTAAATTAAGCGCCTATAGACTCGAAAAGTTCATTTCTTTATAGTATGCTTATTAAACAGATTGCTTAGGTACCTTCACAGCAGAATTACATAATTAAAGATCGTTGACAACCGAGAGGACCCACACCAGTGGCCGAATGGGTAATACCGTTAAACAAGGTTAGATATTTCAGAGTTTGGCGTATTTACGAAGGCAATGTTGCATAGGAACCGAGATTTCACCCTGTGTAAAATCCAGATCTCACCCTGTGTAAAATTGTAAGAACCAGTTTTCCCCTCCTTAATTTCGCCTTAAAGCCATCAGTTGGAAGGCCGATTACGCCATCGTGTTTTATCGTAAACAACTAATCTGAAATATGCTGTACCTCAAGGGCTGACCCAACACATTTTAAAAAAGAGTAATACTGTATCTTCATTTTTAACATAGACGAAACTCTTACTTGCATGATTAATGATATGCTTTTAAGCATAACCTATGAAATTAATCAAAATATTAATCTTGTAATTCTTAGTTGTAAAGAACTTAAGATATCCCCAACACCTGGATGCCGTTTCAATTGAAATTTCATACAAATGAATTACATTTTTAAATGTTAAATTTGTTGTTTGATGTGTTGTTTCAATTCCTCTAGCTCTATGAATAATCCAGATCAGGTCCATGAATTAATCACGATCAGAGAGCACTTAATGTCCAAAGCCTTTGATCTGCTATAGGTGCTCAGTTTCAGTTCGGTTTTTATGAATTCGAGTGTCCCACCGAGGATGGATCCAAAGGTTTCCTACTCCACTTTCCCCAACATCTTCTGAGGAGAATTTCAGCTGGACGATATGCACTTTTCAGCAGCGCCCATACTATACCATAAAATGACAATGTCTATGCCTTCTCTGAAATTCTAATCCCGGCCCAACGACGACACGGCCGTGCATTCAGTAAAGTGAGATGTCTTCCTAAAAAAGGGAAGAAAAATGTTTACAAGATTAGACAAAATCGCGTGTGAAGATTTTAAGTTTCTGCAGGTCTAAATGTTTAGCAGAATTTTAAGATATCACGAACATGGTAACAAGATTTTCGACGAATATGAAAACTTTCAATGGCAGTGTTTAAGTGACTGGTCTTTCGAAAGTAGATTTTAATTTATGGAAATAAACATTTTCATTAATTTTTTAGAGGTTTACGACCAAACTGAGAAAAACTTACAGCAGTTTCTTTCATCAATGCCGTCACTGCAATCCAAATTGCCGTCGCAAACCCAAGCTTTTGGTATACACCGACCATGATCGCATCTCATCTGAGTTTCCACATCACACTCGGTCAAGTGACATTTGTTCTCATCGCTGCCATCTTCACAGTCCTTCTGGAGATCGCATCGCCACAGCAAAGGAATACAGGCACCATTTTCGCAAGTAAACGAGTCTTTAGAACAACTCTCTATAGGAGCTGTTAAGATGAAACGTCATTTAGTTTAGGGAAATAGTATTTTAAAATTCCATCGACATTTTTAAAGTATTACTGTTTACTTAAAAGTCGCTTTAGTACAGTAGAACAATTATTCGAATTTCGAGTAACAGAATATCTTATTCTAAAAAGAACAAAATTATACTCGTTAATTTATTAATACATTTTTAATTTCAGTTAGCGATACAAAAAAAATTTTGGAAATATTAAGCCCAGATTCATTATACTTCAACGTATATCATGTACTTTTATGTTGCAATGGCTATCGTGAAAGAAAATCGCTATAAATTGACTGCATGAAAAGACCGAATTAGCAGACTTCAAAAAATTGTAAAACAGTAAAATGTTAATTTTACACACATTTTACAATGTTTTCCTCGTTTTTTGAATTTTGGAAGCCTTGTATCAAAAGGATTTTAATTTTTTATCTACAGGCCCCAAATAAAATCTTTGAGCCATTAAGTAAGATTACAAGAAAAATGTGTTTTGCATCGTAATGAAATAGATGAAAATGATCTCTAAATACAGCCGCACAATCATGGAGATGCAACGTTATTACATTTTGAAGATGCAATGTTAAAAACTGCTCAAAGGTTTTGTTCATGTTGGAAATTGGTCAGCCATTTTCCACCAGCATTTCTAATTACGTTAGAGAGGAACGTAGCTCAACATTTTAAAAATGGGCGAAATAAAAGGAACTTGTGATGCCACCTGTGCGAATTCAGACCGTAGTCAGCTTCAACGACTAATCTTGGAGGTAGCAATTTTCTTTAACAACCAATGTAATACGAAAGTACTCTATTTAATTGAATGAAAGTAGATTAAACTTTTCTCCAAAGTAGTATTTGACTTCGAACATGAATTAATTTTTTTTTCTTTAAAATGATTGCTTACCTAACCAATTTTTCAATAAAAGTTAGTTTTGTTTTATGTAAAACAAACTATTATTGCTGTAATTAAAAAAGAACGAAGGTTCATGCTTTTATAAAGAATTTTTGCCGACAAAGGTCAATCTAGAGCATTCAGCTTCTTCAAATATCTGAATGCTCTTGGTTACTCCAGATATTTTATGTTTACGTCGCAATTCTAGCTCTGATAAATTTTACACCTAAAATGTCATTAAGAAAGTTTGGCTAAAGAAGACCAAGATTTGCACTTCAGGTTTTCTTCATAGAAGTAGATATTTTATGAAACGGGAATGTAACCGCGAAAATGGTTCAGGATGTTCTTTGCAGAGCACTTGCTAGTAGTATAAAGTTTAGTGCTATATCAGTCTTGCATAGATATTAATTCTGTAACTATATGAACAGACAAACAGTTTCATGAAGTATATAGAATTTCGAAACTTTGTTTTAAGGATTTAGACGCTCAACTATTTGCCTTCCAAACAAATATTGCTGTAGTATTACATAATGAAAATGAACATTTGAAATTGTACATTTAGAAATAAATTATACTAGAATGTCATGAATAAGTGATATTTTCTTGATTTTAATTAAAAAATGACTCATTTTGTACCTTGATTCCTTTTTAAATATACATCCAAACTGAAATCAGATACATTAAGAGCTAGCAGAAATTTTCATGTATAATGAATGTGGAAGGCAACCTTCTGTACGGAATTTTCCGGCTTTAACGCTGAGCCGTTTTGAATAAATAATGAACATTCTTTAATGCAATCAGTCTTTGACGTCAAGATTACATCCCAGTTTAGCGGTTTTAAAATATATCAATTTGTGTATTTACCCTTTCTTAAACGATATCTCTTACTACATGATATAGCTGGATATATACAAAACTATGATTTTCCATTCAATTACATTTTATATTTAACCGTAAGTTTTAAATTACGTACCGAAGATTTATTTGTACGAGACCGACATCGGGGTAATCTCACGATTTGAGTATGGGGCGTAAATATTTTTCATTTTTCCATTTTATGGTGTATTTTAGTTTTATCTAAATGCTCAAAAGATCACCCGGAACGAATGGGTTACAAAGGTTTTCATGTTTCAAATTATTACCCCCTTCAGCAATTTGTTCTGAACATTAAAACATGAATAATCAATGTGTTAAACATTTTAATACGATTGGTATACCCCCTTTATAAAATATTTTACTAAAATAGCAAGGGATCGTCTTTAAATTTACGTACGGCAGCCTTCCTCGTCAGAATTATCACCACAATCATCCCTCTTGTCACATTTCCAGGAGCTAATGATACAATGACCGTTTCGACACTGGAAATCGTTTGCTGGGCACCGATGTCCTGATGGTTCTGAAAAAAAAGTTTCATTTAGTAAAACTGAATTGACTGTTGAAAGCAGGGTTCGGACACCCGAGCGGCTTTCACAGAGTGTTCGAGTACAGTCCGAAATCCGCAACTATCTAGGTAACCACCATTCCGACCATCATCCACAAGGGACACAGCGGAGTTTTTTTTTTTAAAGTCGGGTATTACATGATAACATTCTCATTATTGCGAATCGGTATATTTCAGTTTGGCTTTAGTTTAGATTGAATGCACATGGATCTAATACACATTCTACATACTGTCCGTGCCTGCATTAGCTGTGCTGTATGATGTCTTGCATACCGACATTATATCAGATATACATTACATCAAATGCATCATATAAAGATACATTACGTACGAATTAAATTAGTTCTGTGGAATATTACACAGATCAAAATCATTAAATTCAGATCATACATTTGAAACTTGGATTACCATTTTGCCGCATGGATAATTGATTATAAAAAAAGTACTATGTGGCATTTCAGCACAGGATTTCTTTGCATTAGAAGGTTGCTTACTTGAATATTTTTAATGGATGACTATTCAAAGATAGATGGCAAGCGTACTCTTAGAGAAGTTTCCAATTAAGCGAAAACGTATATTGAATATATAGTAACGTTATCGTAAACCTATACACCGCTAGATCAGTTTTGAATCATGACGGTGCGTCAAGGAGAATTACCGTCCACTCTAGCATAAAGCAACTACTGCCTGTCAAACCATAGTCCAGAGGCAGGCCGAGAGATCAGACGGCATTTGCGTTAAGAAAGGAGCTCGTACATATTAGCGATATGTTTCACATTCCAATTCTGTTGCGCCATTTTATAGACTACGTAAACCTACGCATATCAAATGCAACAAGAAAGAACAGAAGTTACATCCTTGCTTATTGCACTTTAGGTAAGGAAACGTAAGCCGTCATAATAAATTTATTCAGACTTCGTCAGTACAGATAAGTCAAAATTCGGAGTTGAACATATTAGAATTAATATTTAAAGTGCATTTGTTAAAAACTTCTCTCGACAAGAAGAAATTTCTGTTATAATATATAGTTTAAGGATGATTTGAATTCTGCAAATGTAACACAAGGTGAAATTTTGCCATATTATTCAAATAATATGGGGCACTTATCGAATGAACCTTGCGATATTTTTAAACATTTTAAAAATCCTGGAACTCGTATCTCTGCATTATATTCCAGAAATAGTTTCAACAGACTTACGTTGACTTTCAACGTAAGTCTGTTGGAAACTTAAGTTTGTCAACTTTACGTTGACTTTCAACAGACTTCTAAACGCTGACGTACAAAGATTATGGCTATCAAACACGACTAAGACAAAAGAACCAGTACATTTATTTTAAAAGATTGCTTCTCTTATTTTCAGCAATAGTTTAAAGGTGAATTTATGAATAATTAAAACTTATTGCAAGTTATCAGAAACAAAACCTGAAAGTTTGTTCAAAAATCTAATTGTTAATACCAAGGGGGATAAATATTCCTTACTCGATAGTTTAAACTCATTTTTCTTAGAAAGAGTTTTAAATTATTGTAACTTAGGATTTTATTTACAATTACACGTTTATTTGTCAATGGCTCAAAGTGGCTATTATACGTGTCGTCCCATTAACATACAAAATGAAATTGTTTGCATCAGGTTTCAAAACATACTGGATCCTTACTTCTTCCAGCTCTGAAGAGATATAGTGTACACGAAATCTTGCAGGTCAGACATAAACGAAGTTTAAGAAAACTTACCATCACAGTTTTCATCAGAAGCATCTTCGCAATCTTTGACTCCATCGCAAACAAAAGTTTTGGGAATACATGTTCCGTTCTTTAGGCAGCGGAATTCGTCTGCTTCACATTTTCGGCCTGAAAGAAAGCTGGTAGTTTATCGAAAAAGAAAAAAAAATCTTTTAGGGGCTAACTATTCATGCAACACGGAAGCTACAATGTTTGATTTCTTAAAGAGAATTTCAATGAAAGTGTCATTAAATTATTTGAAATATTAGAAGATCACATGCCGATGGTTGACCTTTCTCGAGGAACATCTCATTTTTGTAGAATCACCCGATATTTATCAGAGAAGGATTTTTTATGTAACAAGTCATTTGATATACTGTAGGAATTTTAAATCAAAGCCTTTTTTTGCTCTAGTTTTACAGTTGATAAGGATACGATCTGATTGTATCTCGTAAAAAATCATTCCAGATAATCTTGTATTATTCCTATAGAATAGATCTTTTCAGGGCATTACTAAAATCAAATTTTCATCGCATGCAATTGAGAAAGGAAGTCAACTTTTTAAAATTTATATATTAAATTGCTAGAATTTGAAGATGCTTCTAGAAATCAAGACCGGAAATTTCACCCTCTAACACGATTGATGCACGCTTTAAGTGCCCTTCCTCTGTAAACGATGACCTGCTTAAAAAACTGAACATTTTATAGTACAGAAAGTTGTAAATAGATTAAGTACAAGTGTAAATAGATTCGTATACAAGTGCAGTATACGAAGTTTGAATACGTTACGCTGCGATATACAATTATATTCTGCTTCTGTTTGTTTTCTCCAGACAAAGTTAATTCGTAAAATATAAACATGCGAGCAAAAGGTTTCAAACCCTACTGCAGGTTAAATAAAATTTCTCATTTTTTACTGAACGGAAAGGCAACATTATGTCTTATGGCAGGAATGGGCAAACCTTTTCGGTCAGATAAATTTTTCCTAAATTTTAAAAATATACAAGTATTACAATTTAAATATGTTAATGAAATTGCGATTCCATTTTTAAAAGTTCCTTATAGTGAGGTTCGAAGGGAGATTTACAGATTCTAAGGAGCGAGGCTAAATGCTCATCTGTTGGTCTATTTCTGAAATAACTCTTAAGTTTCATAGTTGAAAACATTTTACCGATTTTCTGAGCTTGAGATATTAAATTTGAAAAACTTAATTTCGATAATGGTTTGCAAGACTAACTTCGGCATATTTAGAAACAACTTGAGATAATTAGATTGCAACTCAATTCAAGCTGGAAATCTGACCTCACTGTTTCACAATTTATGTTGAAAGGCATGGCAAAAACATCCAGTTATGTATGAAATCTTGAAATCCTTGAAATCGGCGTTCAAATCCAAAATGCAGATTTTCAAGCCTCGTCATATTTCTTAAGCTTCTCTTCATTTACTGAGGGTATAGACTTTAACCTCGAGAAATCAGACAAGTCGTTCTTAGCTAGCTGTTCAGAAAACAGATTAAGTTTTAGCTTAAAAGCTTTGAGATGGGCCCAGATATCATCGATAAACTGATTTTTCCCTTGCATCTTGGCATTCAAGTTGCTCATATGACAAAGAAGATCTGAAAAATGCAACTTCCGAAAGCCATTCTGTGTCTTCTAACATTTCGCATTCTGCAGAACACCGTTTCTTATGGAAGAACGACACGAAGTCGTCTTTCAGTGTTAAATCTGAAAATTTTTACAGCACCTGCAATTTATCCTAGTCACGGCACCATTGTTATATAGAAAAAATTATGTTTGTATTTTAGATACCTTATTCCATTATAATTTTAACTTAACTGATAACTTTGCTGACTGTAGTGCCGCATAAATTAACAAAAAAAAAAAAATCAAAAATCACAAATCACATATCAAATAATTCAAAACATTCAAAATTTCATAATAATCAAATATCATATCGACATTCTTATAAACATTCGTATAGTAAATCTATCAATCAATCGTATAGTGGTATAGTACAATTTAATTTTTTAGGTTTGCGTTGTGAGTAACCTATGTAAAGGGAAAATCAATAACTCCATGTTTCTTAAAAGCCTCCCGGCTCAAACAAATGGAGGAACATGACAGACCACAGAAACTACACTAAATTAAACAAATGAAACATAAAATACATATCAAACACATTTATTAATTTCTAGAATATTCAAACATATGATAACTAGGTAAACTGATCAGTCCCCTACAAATTAACCTTAAGAGGTAAATTAACATATATATCATTTTAAATCTTCTACTCATGTTAGGTGTACTAATTTTTTTTAACATTACATAACTCACAATTTAGGCGGTTGTACCGTATATTAATATAGTATCATTACTCGGTTACAATTTAAATACAAAAGACAGAAAAAAAATTCACTCACAGGATGAAGTTCATACATTCAACTCCTATGCCATCATCGACTGATTAATATGGAGTGCTGATAGTTCAACAGATCGTCCTACTCATTTCGTTGACCATTCCAAGAGATCGAGAATGCCATCATCGACGGATTAATACGGAGTTTTAGATAGTTCAACAGCTAGTCCAACTGCTTTTAAATCAGGAACGCTAACGCTACAACAAAATCTGTATTAAGGTAACCTCGAGAATGTCAAATTAAAGTTCTTGGGAAAATATAACGAAGCAGCAGCAAAGCTATATTTTGCATAAGCACTTAGTCTCAACTCGAGCAAAATTCTCATCAGCTGAAAGCCGACAGAAATTCAAGACCGCCGCCCGCAAAGGGGTCAAGCCCCCACCACTCGTTTTCTTCTTACTCTTAGCTTGAAAGAATCAGGAAACAGAATCAGAATGAACTCTAGCCTGGTGCAAGTACCCAGGAAATCTCGGTTTCTCCGCCTCTGAGTTCATAGGCTTTCAAAAAAATCATAAAATTAAATCTTACCAATCCCGGAATTTTAAGTTATCTAAATTGAGAAAATGACACACCCATGACGAATCAAACACCAGAAAAATCTGACAATGAAATCCGAAAAGCATCTGCAACTCATAACGTGAGAAAAAAAATAGACCCCCCAACTAACAAGTGAAACTAAGCTTTTAGGAAAATCCAATTACCAGCCACCCCCACTGTCTTGAAGTAATAAAACTGCAAACTTACAAAGCGACAGGAAAGCGCTTTCCGTTTCACACGCATGAGCTAAAAGGGCGACATTGTTAGTGAAAAAGCCATAAACCAGATGTGTGTCCTCGCAACCGTCTCTCGCCTTTGTTACAATTCCTATTCAAGAACAACAAGTTAAACACCTTAAGAGCCTAAGAATACTTTTTTTTTTTCAGATTAAAATACACATGAATACAAACAAAAATATTAGAATAATAACAACTTGAAACACATAATAATTGAAATTCTCGACATAACATATTCCCCCACGCACCAGGGAAAAAAAAATTGAGCATTAAATTTTTTTTTTTCAAAACAAAACAAACAGCTTTTCAAAATAGTACCAAGTTAAGTACCAAACTAATAATCAACTCAAAACTAGTTGTCACGGAGAGCAGTGATAAAAAAATTAAAATTCAATTACGAAGCACAAAGTTTAAATCAATTAAATTCAAAATCTAATTCCAACTCGAATAACCAATTAAACAGCAGCAGGAGTGAAGTGTCACAAAAAAATCCATTTGCAAAGCAAGTTAACAAAATTACACAAACAAAAAAATCACTAGTGAGGGAAATAAAAAACACCTTAACAATTTCCAGTCAACCAACAGTGCCAAAAAAAAAATCATAAACGAATTAAACACCGAACTGAACCAAAAGTTGAAACAAACAGAGAACACCCCCAGGAACGGAAAAGAGAACTTGACCAAAAAAAAATTAAGCCGAAAGAAACTAGAGCGCATCTAGAAGCAAAAGGGAAAAAAAATTTAGACAAACTTACTTGGAAACAAGGAAATTAAAATTCCGGACCAGCCGAAAACAATCCTTAAACGCAGCAAAACACTATTGAGTCAAGAACTCCAAACCGAAACTAAAGGAAATTCACACAAATGCAGAACAACTCCTAGACCAAACCAGTTGTAAAATACTGAGGAAAAACCTTTAACTAATTCTTTCCAAGAAAACAAAACTAACACTCTTTCAAAAAAAAAATTGGAAATCAAATTCATAAACAAGTTCAAGATCAAAGCCAAAAAAAAAAAAAAATTTTGAATTCAGAAATTAGCCAAAATGAATCCAACAAAACAGAACTGAAGCAGGTTACACACAGAATTTACACGTAAACAAGAAGGTACCCAACAAAAGGTTTGCCACAATTTTTAAAGAAAACAATGATGCTGCACCAATGTTCTTAAAGTCTAGCTCCTGGAGAGTAATTAAGATGAAGAGTATGCATTGCACTCTAGGTAGCAATCGTAAGCATGACAACTTCACATCAAAACTACAAAACTGCAAAAGCAAACAAGAGGGAAGTGTTTACACACACACACACAAAAAAATCTCAAAATCCATAATCTCACAAAACTCAATTCTATATTTCTCCTTAAACCACTTCAAAACAAAAACTCCTTGAAATACACTAAGCCTCAAGAGCAATCAGAAATTTTTCAGTAACCACACAGTATAACCAGAAACCAGAAAAGAAAATATTTTTGAAAGACAACCAACTTGAAAACAGAAACTCGGTGGAGTTACTCTTAAAATCCTAAAATCAAATCAAAATACTTCTCAAAACCAAATTTCACTTTCACTAGTATCAAAGTTTAATCTTCCAAACACATTTCACATCCACTTTTAAAGTTACTACAACACTGCAAGAAGTTCAGCCACATAAAAAATGTAAATTCAAAATCAAAACAATAAGCTATTAAGCTCAAATATTGACAAACCAAAAAAAATACTGTTAAAACAAATGTTAGACCACTCACAAGTAACTTCACTATGAATCTACCTTTAAAACTACTTGAAAAGCCAAAACTATGAGCAAGAATAATATCTTTTAACTACATTTCCAAAACTTCAAACAAAACCAACTCTACCTATCCAAAAAAATCTTTGTTTTTCCAAAATTCACAATTCAAATTTTGCTGTAAAACGCAAAACTCACTATTCTACTGTTTTCAGA